ATGCTGGTCAAACACAGGAGCACGTTCAGTACAAGAGTGAGATCACAAAAATGCACCACAGAGCGCCACAGGAAGTCACTACTGCCTGTGGCCATCCAACTTTACAACTCCTCCCTCTGAAAAAGTCAACAAACTGGAGTCATTACAAGCATATCCATTTGCACTAAATATTCAATGCAATGTACAGTATGCACAATATTGTATATATTGTATTTTTCATATTATATGCTATATTTCTACCTCTCACTTGGAGCATTTGTAACAAACACAATTTCCCACTGGGATCAATAAAGTATTCTGATTCTGATTATTAATACAGAGCATTTACCATTTTAAACAATTAGCATTGTAGCCACAAGTGGCAACTGTAAGTCAATAAGCCTGCTTACATTTCCCATCATTCTCTTAAAGCAACGTTGATTTAATTGTGCTTTTGTCACTTTTTTAAGCACCTTTAGGTTCATATGATTTTGGTTTTACAGCTTACAACAGCTCACAAATGTTTTGCTTGTTATGTTTTATGTTTTAACTGTGTTGCACAATAATGCTTTATTAAACTCACTGTACTGTCCGCCTTACACCTAGGAGTTGTCAGACAAAATGACTAAGCTGGTGAACACAATTGAGCTTTTAGCAGGTAAAGCTCAAGTTAATTCCCTGAGGAGTTGCCGGTGAAAAAACTAAATAAAAATTAAATGGTTTATTTATTTGTAGTTAACATTTTGTTATAACTTTTGTCAGACAACAATTTTTCTGCAAACAGACGAGATGGACACTATGACAGTTGCAGAAATGGTCATAAAGCCTGCCTTCTTCATGTTGGTGGATGGGACATGGACAAAACTAAAATTGAAGTAAGTAAATGTCATAAATTTTCTTCAAAGATGGTTTCTGTTATTTTAGGTAGTTCTACACCTACTATTAAAGTGTTTTTAATTACTTATTTGATGCTTTAAAAATGGGGCTTAACTTGATTGACAGCTGAGACTGACTCATGATCAGTCGAGTGTGAGTAGGACCTCACTGCATCGACTCCATCCACTACCTCATTACTACCCCTCAGACGTTGTGCAAGATGGCAGCACTTACTGTATATCTGATATATGTTGGCTTCATTTCTGAATAAGGTGAGGAAGAGGAGATGCATCGTCCATCTTATATACATTCTGTGGCAGCAAAGGATTAATAGTTCATTATTTTTAGACCAATTGAATGCGTATGTTGCTCTGTGTCTGCCATAGCAACTGAGAGGATGATAATATGTCAGTGTTTTCTTTACGGATCATTTCCAAGTGACAAGAAAAGAGAAAAGAATCAGTTAATGCAGGTGTAGGAAAATCAGAGGTGTAAATAATACTCACTGAATGTCACTTATCTGCTTTGGTTTGAGGGTCCTGGCATTGCACATGCTTCGATGCTTGAATAGAATGGAAGGTCAATGATGTACCTGTGCTTTCACAACAAAGTTAAAAAGTTCTGTTCTGTAACAAGAAAAAAGCATAAATCTCAAATGAATTCCCGGTAACATGATAAAAAAAAGTTACATTAGGTAAGACAGTCCCTTCAGACTGTATTTGATATACTGTTGAACTAGTTTCTTCTTTATTCCGCTGGGAGATTAATATAAATCTTTTGGCTTGGTTATATAAGGACATTGATCATACTCACCTCAGCATCTGGAATAAAACAAGATTTATTTTCATGCTCAGCTCCAAAGCCCTGAAGTCAAATTGCCATCAACTCACAGTACTTAAAGGTTCAGTGTTAAGAATTAAGTGGCATGTTGCAGATGAATACCCCTTCAAGCATAAAGCAGAACCTGTGGCAGCCTTCAGTTCTCATAAAAACTCAAAAGCATTTAGTTTGTCTAGTCTGAGTACTGTAAAAGACATGGCAACCCCCGAAGATAGGACCCGCTCCAGATGTAAATATAAAGTATTTTAATATAAGGGATCATTTTAGGGTAAAAACAACAACTATTTATACAACTTTGATCATTACACACTAGTGAGAACATCACTAGGAGATAGCAAATAGATCCCTTTCACCTAAATAGTACACACTGAACCTTTAAACCCTAATTCCCTGGAAAAAGAAACAGGAAGTATAAGACTTTATCATTTTTATTTTGTTCACAAGTAGCCAAGATACAAGTAATTTGCAATTACCCGCAGGACAAAGACGTACAAGAAAAATTGTAGTTTTTCCGAGTTGTCCACCTGTGTGAGGTGATAAGTTTATGTTACTGCTGTGGGCTGGAGCTCAAATTATGGAGGCTGGACCGAACCATGGTCTTAAAACTATTAGATATTCAGATTGATACCTTGAGTGATGAACTCAAGCATCAACAGCAGATAATTCAACCCCTTTAAATGTGACACACAGGCTTACCATGAAACCAAAAATACCAATGTAAAACAAACTGAGTTCAGATACTGCATGTTTAAGGCCATATGCGCCGAGATCCAATGTTCCTGTGAGGAATTTGTGAAAGTGGGTACGCAGCAGTGAATGAGCTTCAGCTTCATTCTGGCACAAATGTAACAAGTGCGACGCCAAAAGCACAGAACAGACAGAACCTATAAAACAAAGGGGACAGACTGCAGAGTCAGAATCTGAGCAACATGCCAGAAGAAAGCAACGTGTGCAAAAGAAACAAACAGGAGGAGAGAAGCCACATAGCATGGAGCATCATAAATATCATGTACACAAACACTAAACGCTCCTCATTGAATAAAGATGCACTGTCGTATTTCAACAAATAGAACTTCAGCATTATAAGCAAAGTCTCAGATTTGTAATTTCTTATCCAGTGTAAATGCATGTACTATTGCTTAGAAAATCTGGAAATATAAATGATCTTTGGTAAATGATACTCTATACAAAAATGTACTGCAATGGGATACAACAATCATAACATATTAAAGGTGCTGCTGCTTTAAAGGCTAAACTATAAACCAAATATAGTGTCTTTAAACAACTGATGTTTGCAAAAGTGTAAAGTAAATACAACTTGTCCTTTTCATACTGTATCTGAGCACTGAACACATCAACAGCACCAACTCATTGGTACTTCTCAAATAATGCAAAAAGTGCAAATTTAAATCTGAAAGCGACATCCATTACGTTTGGTTCATCGGGCTTTTGGTTTTTACAACTGAACACCAGCAGGAAAAAAAAAAATGCATGAAATAAACTCTTCAAAAACGGACCTTCAAGTCAACTGGTTTTAAAACGTTTGATTGTAGTTTGTTGTACAGTGCAACCTTCTGTACGAGTATGACACGTTGGGAAATGTGCTAAATTTGATTCTGAATGAGAATTAGATAAGATTGATACCACTCTAAATCCTTTACGCTGAATACGAAGGCACAGTTGGATACAGTTAGCTTAGCATGGCTGGACTGGAAACAGCTGAGCAGCAACTCAAAAGCGAACTAAATGACACACTGTACTTTGTTCGCCTGGGCCACGTAAACAGTGAATCACAAAAACAACATTTTGTGACAGGTGATATATGATGGAGTTTCTCAGCAGAATGCAGTGTTGCAGTAACTTATGAGAGTTCAGTGGTTTCCTGCCACTATCACAATCACAACATGACTAGGCTAGCAGTTTCCCTCAGCCCATGAAGAATGGAACTATGGTAAACAGCTAGCCAGGCTAAGGGCCAGATAAAAAAAGTGGCATCAATCTTGTTATCCAACTCTCGGTAAGAAAACAAACAAACATATTTCCTGAACTGTCAAAACTACTCTTTTAAAATGAAACTGGCTGAAACTGTTGAAACAGATCCAATGAGTCAATGGACACACACTCAAACACACACACGCACATGCACACACACACGCGCACATGAACACACTCACACACAGCATCATTTCTGGTTAAGTTTTGCTGAAAATGAATATTTCTCGATATACCATCTGAATGTGATTAAATTTAAAGCCTACATCTCTCGTCATTTTTCAGTGGAATGTACTGTAAGACATAAAATATGAACACACTTTTCAACATTTAATTCGTAGCAAAAAAAAAATCCAGCAACAAATGAGCACTGAACGAATGCCACTATTCGTTGACGTATGTAAAAATAAAACTCTTACTTTAAGGGAAATTCTCGCACAAGAAATCCAAAGTGTTTCTGTGGAGATGTATAAAATATCTTTCCTCTGGAATTACAACACTGATATAAGGCCACAGTGGCATCTGGTCCAGGTCTTGCATTTACAGGCCAAGCTGAAGGAATGAGCAGGGTACCATATCAGAGAGAAAACAAACTCCCAAATACCCAACGATGGAATGTCTGCAGGCCACTCGACTTTCTCTACTTTCAAACCTGAACTGAGGTGCCTCTTTGTGAAATTAAATTTTCCCAAGAAAAAAAAAAGGGAGATATTCCAGTTCTTCCATCTCCCAAACCTCAGAAATATCTTTAGCTTTGAACATCCACAATATAAAGTACCTATTTCTATCTTTTATAAAAGATTCTCCTTGAAAAATACAATAAAATTATATATAAAAAAACTAATCGTGCAAATTGGAGTTTGAGATAACATACTTAAGACCATCAGACAATCACAAGGTGATGTGCAGCGACTGCTCTGCCATCTGCTCTGTCCTGTGTGCTGGATGAACGGTGTGGTCGGGCTGGAGCCTTTCCTCTGAGTTCCTTGTGTATTTCACGCACTGCGAGCCTCCGTCAGGGGGCAGAGTCAGCTGGACGCTGTCTGTTTGTGAGAGCAGAGGCGTGGAGGTGATCCAGCTGGAGAGACTCTGATTTGAAGGCTCTAAAGTCGTATCGAGACACTCCGAGTCTTTGGTGGAAGGAGGCTGCTGCTCCTCCGAGAGTGGAGGTGCTTCTTTGGTGTAAGGAGGAGTGTCTATACCTGTAGGAACTAATGTGTAGATATTTGAGAGGCCCTTCTCACAGTCTGTGGGCCCCAGAGGGCTCCCCTGGCCCTTTTCTTCATCTGCTTGTGCGATGGGCCCCTTTTTGGCCTGTGCTGTCTTGGAGCTCGAGAAGCGCCTCTGGTCTTTTTTATTGCAACCTTCAGGGGAAGGCTTGGTGAGGGACAGGAAGGGAGGCTTGGGGCTGAGCGGTGACCCCACCTTGACCCTGCTCAGGCTGAGGATGTTCCTACGGGTTTCAGCGGGGAGTTTATCCAACTGCCTTCCAACTTGGACCTGGCTGGGAAACAGCGTGCCTTGACACGCCCTGTAGAAATATCTGGAAAGAAAAGCAAAACCAGATATTGGGAGATATCAGTGCTATTCCAGGGATGAATGTGAGGATCAGGGGATTAACAGCTGAGGAATCTGGACTTAATAACTGATATGATTCCTGACAGGTTATAAACATTTGAGGCCTGTGTATGCACTCATTAAAAAGAATCAACTGAAGTATACCTGGGCAGCAGCGCTGCTACAGGTGTGATGACACAAAGCAGGTAGAAAAGAGGGTCCTGCAGCAGCCTCTGCATGGTCCAGTATGGGTTAGAGGGGGAGTAGCAGGTGGGACAGGAGGCGTTGTAGCACAGAGCCACAGTGAAGAATAAGGCAACACTGAAACTGATCGACAGCCAGTTCATCCAGGTCTGCAGGGGAAGAAGAGCATTCTTGTGAATCGGCTAAAATAACAAGAACTAACTGAACATGAATGAATCATAAAAACATACCATTGTACAAATGGGACATTATCTACAAACTGACTTTCTTGATGTTAATTAGGCATGTGGCAAAAAGGAGATAAGACTAAATGAAATGACTCATACTATCAAGACTGGTAAATATTTATTAATATCTCTGTTCAGCATTGGCCTTCTGAAGTTTGGTTTTAAGTGATTCTAAAATGAATGTAATGAGAAACACAAACCCTGAAGAACCACTGGGGAGTCAAAGTCTGTCTTCTAGTAATCTGGGTCTGGGTTTAATTTCATAGTGTCATTTATCAGTTATGATACTGAAGCTGTTTCTTTAACCAGTTAACTGCTGGAATCCGGGGCGTGGAAAAGTCACGGAATCAGAGTTCAATTTACAGTGGCAAGAAAAATGTATTGAACCTTTTTATTATTAATTATCTTCAATTAAGAATTTTATTTTATTTAAAACATGGTCACATCAAATGCTGATGAAAACATCACCTATAGATAGAAAATCATAATAAACCTACAAACTCTTGCCTTTATAGAAGGCACAGGAGGGTCGACTGAACACACAGTTTGTGCGTATCTTCTGTTATAGAGTTATTAATTTTTTTCACACCGTGGTTCACCTTCCCTAACTCCTTATGGCTTCTACTTTACATCTTTCCTTGACCATGCGACATTTGCCACCGGAGTCAAGGACTGGTGGTTAGGAAAGGAGATTATTTCGATTTTTGGACAGCAGCCCTAGTCTCAAGAAGCTTGGCAGCAGAGGAATTTCCCAACGTGACAATATGATCCCAAACACATTGAAACAGTGAAAACTGCGGCTTAGCCAAGTATGTCCCCCTGATTTGAGAAGCAACAAAACCCCTCCAGCAAAGAGCAGCTGAAAAGAATCATCTATGGAGAGCAGGCAGAACATCTCTTCACAGATGTGTCCAACACTGCTATCATCCATGGCGCATACACACACACACACAATATGAAAAATAGAAATACTGCACTATAAAATAGAATCCTTCACCAACTAGTGGAGTTCCAGTCTCCATTCATTTTTTTCCCAGACTCATATGATGTCAGATTTTAAAAACCTGATGAGATTGTGTTCAAGAAGAGAAAAACACATTTTGTGAGGCCAACATGACCTTAGTCTTTGACCAGCCAAGTCTTATCAGTTCATCCATGAGTCTAAGTGAACATTTGTGCCAAGTTTGAAAATCCTATCGAGGCGTTTTCAAGAGAAAAACAGGCCACAGTGATGTTGACCTTTGACATCCAAATTTTGATGTGGTCATCTTTGAGTTCAAGTGAATGTTTGTGCCAGATGTAATTTAATACCCTGAATAAGTTCCTGATATATAATGTTTACAAGAACACAAGGGCACCACACTTTGACATTTGACCACTGAAATCAAACTAGTTCTGTCCAAGCGAACATTTTTACTAAATTTGAAGAAATCACGTGAAGGTGTTCCTGAGATGTTGCGTACACAAGAAAAACGGTAAGGTCACGGTGACCTTGACCTTTGACCATCAAGCTCTTGTCAGTTCATCTATGAGTCCAACAAAACAATTGGAACAAATGTTAAGAAAAACCCTCAAGACATTGTTGAGATATTGTGTTCACAAGAATGGAACGGAGGGACAGACGGACGGACAACTTGAAAACATAACTCCTCTGGGCTTCTGGCACAGAGGTGTAGAAATAATCAGAATCTCACTAATGTAGGGAGACTTAAATATGAACCTCATTTTAATGAGTGATTTAACATTTCTGTTTTTCTAATTAATTGGCTTCATTCTTTTTGAGTTTTGCCATAACAAATTGAATTGTATGAAATGGACAGAACTTGTAATCACATGCTAGTGACATTGATACTGAGATGTAGTCAGCTGAGTTGTGTGCTGTTTGTCCTCCTGTAATGAGTTTAGTCTGTCAGGGAGAAAAATGCACTGAGACTTCATCCTTGAGTGGACTGGCTGATAAGACATCTGACAGAGTAAATACTATACAATGGTTCACTGGAGTATTGTACATCCTGCACACACACTCGTGCACCCCCCTCCCCCCCACACACAGATAATTAATTATGGCCTTAGACTGACTGTATGTGTGAGGAGAATGAGTGCTGCCTGCTGTCACCTCAAATACCTCTAATTGACTTTCACAGCGGTTTACCAATCAAGCGTGCATTATGTTCCAGAGCAGCCGGGGAATGGAGTACCTGGCAGCTGAGCTTTTGTAAAAATGTTTGCCTACGGTCGATGCTGCTCACTGTGAACACTTCCCTGCACGAGGGGGCCATCATGTCCAGGAAGGTAGTTAGTGAAAAGGACATTTTTCATGTATAAAAGTTGTCAGGCTAAATTTACAGCCTCAGCATAATGGAAAAGACTGATTCAATGCAGGGTGATAAATTTAAAATGGCTCGTGACTGCAGGGCTGTTTATGAGAAACATGCATACCTGAGAATAAAAGGGAGGATGGAGAAAAATAAACAGGTGTTCTTGGAGCTCTGTGGCAGTGTGAAGTGGAGGGGTGCTGCATTGTGGAAGAGACTGAGAGACTTATGGTGGTAACGGGGTGCACGTGCAGGAGGGTCACTCTCACGCGCAACAGACACCGAGTAACAGGTACACAGACTAGAGAGTGAAGTTCTCATGTAGGCAAAAGAACTGCATTGATGCCAGGTAAAACCTTTAGGTCTACCTGTCTGCTTGGACGATAACAATATTGTGGACCATAACATTTTCTAATTTCATTAGGATTCTGTGGTGGAACAAATTTGGCGCGACACCGCAGTCTCTGTAAATAATGGGAAACACTGGGGATCAATAATGGATTATCTAAAACTACTTGTCTTTGGACTGTGGGAAGAAACTGCAGAAAAACCCACATGGCCACAAGGTTCTGTGTTTGAAGCTGAGTTTCCATGTTCTCTTTGTCTGCACAGATAATACCACACGATGCACCTCTGTAGAGATACATGTAGATCTTCTCCACTGGTCTCCAGCTTCACTCTAACCCTGTTACATCAGCCTGCTCCTCAGCTCATTCTCCTGCCTGTTGACCAGTCATCCAGCCTCACTCACAGCTCCGCCTTCTTTGGCTCATTCCGGCAAACCGCCACTCCCTGTTTGCCCTCAGCCTGTGCCTGCCAGAGCACTCATCTCCCCAATAAATCTTCACTTTATCACTTCAAGCTGTGTTCTGCATTAAGGTTCACACATTCACACATAACGTATTCAAATTACTGCTCTTTGTTGGATCATCCAATGAAGATAGCTCCCTGACAAAAATAAACTATATTTATTTGAGTTTTTTCAAGCTAAATTGTGACAGAGAATTTTTAAACAATATTAGGCCCCATCCCTAGTCAGCAATATATACAGTATACTTTTTACCTATATTGGGTCTAATTTGGTGGGGTATTTCTCTCGTGAAAGTTAGTATTGCCAAAAATATTGAGTATTGCCATCAATTAATCTAAATTAAGGTTATTTACCCATGTTTTGGTCTCAATGCCCAAGTGCAGCAGAATGGTGAATAAGGCGAGGGAAGTGATGGGAGTTCCCCATGTAAACAGATCCACATCAGAGTCAGAGTAGGCCTGAGGAGAAGAGGGAGAGTGGGAGGAGACAGGGCGGAAAGAGGGGAAATGATGAGTAAGTCAGAGCAACACACCGAATGAAGAACAGCCGATGGAAAACAAAAACCAGACTCACAAAGTAAGGAATGAAGAAGCAGACCAGACTTTGGTAGAATGCATCAATCATGTTCATCCAGAACATATATGGCTTATATTCCTGCAAGATAAAAGCAGAGAGTCACAGTTATGAACCTCATCAATGTGACTGAGCAGAGGCGGAGTTCAAACTGCGGTGCGGCGTCGTTCTAAAAGTTGTTATGAATGGTAAGTTATGGCTGAGCTGTGTAAACTTTTAAAGTTAGCCGGACATTTCTGTAGCAGATTATTCCCGTCTATATGCTCAACACTCACAATAAAACTTTCTGAATAATCTAATAACCGAATAAAGTGATGAAGAGGAAGTTCATATAACAGCTGTTTGTAATTTCGTTTAAAACCGTTTGGATTTATGAATCATTACTCAAAACACTACATGAATATCACATATTTTGTCTCCACGACAACAGACAGAAATATGTCTGCTAATAAAAGGATGTGGTAGAAAACCCCTGAAGCAATATAGTCAGTGGAATGATAATGAATACCGTCTTAAAAATGTGTATGAAAATTAAATAACACAAAAACATGTTTGCTGAATGTATATTAAGTTCTCACAGTTTCTAGTTATTTTCGCAGCTGATGATTGTGACAACTGAATATGAAGTGAAACATTCCCAATTATCCATAATCATGTCCCCGAAAAGCTTGACTTGTCTGATTAGTGGCCAAAAAATATTTATTTTACTTTCTTATATAATACTGAGTCTGACAAATATTTGTAATTTTGCTTGAAAAAAGTGAGTAAAGGCACTAATGGATAAATTGGCGTATTGTAAAATATTACATTTCATTATATCATATGACCTTATATCAAAATGATGACAATGTCAACTATGTACATGCATTACCATTAGTTACCTCAGCAAGGATCTGTCTGTCTCTGTCAGCAGGATTACTGAAAAAATACTGAACTGATTTCCAGGAAACTTTGTTTAGGGTGGGGCATGACCGCAGGAAGAACCTGGATCTGTGTAAACAGACAGTTCCAGGAATCTTTTTTCCACTTTCTTAAATATGATGAGGAGGGGCATTAGAATAAGGTACCCACTCTCATAATTGCCTTTCTTCTTTTTGTAACGTGCTGAATGTGAATTATCATGAGTTTGATGAATTTGAAGTAATGTCAGTTTAGTTCCGAGAAAGATTTATCAGTGGATGACAAGGAGGCTCCTGTAAACACACATCTTCATTGTCATTCTTTTTACCAGGCGCGTTTTCTTGTTGCACAGTTTTACAGTAAAATAGACGATTCAACTGGACCTCGGAGTTCTGGCCGGTCACGTAGAGTTGAGGTAGTTGTTGCAGAGTCTCTGCTGAAACATCTTTGTCCAGAGTGCCAGTGATGAGTTGTGGAAAGGCAGAGAACATCAGGTTGAAGAAGATGAGATACCACTGATCAATCATGGATGAACCTGAGAATCCACAGTAGAACTGATACCAGAAGATGAGCGCTACAAACATCTGTGGGAATCAAAGACAACGAGGATGGATTCATATGAAGAGCGAGGACAACAAAAACAAGAAAACACTGTTGGTTTTTATTCATCTAAATGACACATAGACTGTTCCTGTGTTCACTTGAACATTGGGATCTGCATTAATTCTATGAGATCAGTATATATGGCTAAAACAAATTGAGTATGGTGAGAGATGCTTACTGCATTTTTGTAGAAGAAATAAAGAATCATGTTAGCCAGCCGGGAGTAGCACCAGTGTCCATGGACCAGCAGAAGCTTCTGGAGATACCGGAAACGTGGAAGAGCAAAGTCGCTCGCCATTACTGCCTGCAAAACACAAAACCAGTCAGTCTCCTCCACCCAGTACTTGTCATCCATCAGGTCACCTACATGATATTTACATGTGCAGCTATTAGGAAATAACTTCTGGAAATGTCAACTATTCTCACCGGCCTCTGTTTAATGAATCTTTAGTATAATCTTTAGGGTATAATCCTTCCAAAGCAATAACCCTTAGACGAGTCATCCACCTTTTGGGATTCCTGATTACAGCGGCTGGGAGAGCTGCCAATCTCATCTATCAAGATCTAAAACAAACCCCTCCCTGAAGTGAAGCCCGGTTTATAACTTATACTTTAAATAAGGCTGTGAGCTCTTTATGACACCTCTCACCTGTCAACGTTATCTGTCAACAAGAAAAATAACAGCAGATGCCTCATTGTGCAGCAATTTACTTTCTGCTGCGCTCTAATAAGAGCCTCTTAACGACTGCATGGGGAGTGCACTCCTAATAGGAGAAAGGTGTGTTAATCATAATGAGGTATGTGCGCTGGCCTGAGTGCAGAAATTTGCGTCTCAGCACACCATGGATCCCGAGGAGTGACTGCTGTCTCATTAAGGGCAAATTTGATTAACAATGATTAATCTAGCGGCTCCGTTAAGGACAAGATACCAAGACTTTAACAGATGCGCTACACAGCAGCGTGCCCGTGAAGCCTCCCCTGGAAGTTAATTGGGAAGCTCCATCATCGCTGTGCAAGATCACCTTTCCGGAACACGCTGCTAGGATAAAATACACGTGACGAGAGGGGGGGGGGTCAACATATTTTTTCCTGCTGCTTTTTACTATGATGTTGTCTCGGTTGTGGTATTGGCCATGACCTCAGAGGGGGAAGAGAAGCTGTGAATTTAGTTGAGACTGAAGCGCTCATAAAGTGAACGGATTCTCTGCAGGGCACAGGGTAAGATACCTGAGTCAGCAACACACAGGCAATCCTATTTAAAGGAAGTGTATGGATGTGGGATAAAACACACACTTAAGAGTAATGAAAAACCATTACATATGCTAAAGAACGCCTGAGTCTCCTCTCGTTCCCTTTCTCCTCTCCTGTAGATCATTTCACTCTCTACTCAACCTGTCTCATCCCTGGGTTTATCTCTTTTTACGATCTCCTTCACATCACCCTGCAGCTTCATCCACTCCCACTCCTCACTATCACTCTCTTCATCTGTCCCTTCCTGTTACCGCACAGTCACGCCCACATTTCTCCTTACCTGCATGCCTTCTTGTCCCGAGATCCCCACGCCCACGTCCGCTACCTGGATCATGCTGACATCATTGGCCCCGTCACCTGTGATTAATGTAGTGATGATACATAAACTGTAATCAAGAGATCGACAGGCCGTCAGTCTGCCAGCAGCAGCCTGACAGAAAGCAGAGGGAAGTTTCTTGAGTGTGTTTTTAAATGTGGGAGGAATATCAGGCTTTCACAGAACTGTCAGTTTCATCAGCTGTTATGTAATGCTAGCTGTTTGTTTGTGTGTGTGTGTGTGTGTGTGTGTGTGTGTGTGTGTGTGTGTACCCTGGCTAAGGCAGAGTCAGGTCTGCTGTGGTGGATGACAAGCCCCATTTTTTTTGTTTTTGCTCCACTTTGAGCACTACAGATATTTTTTTCCCATCACAGGTGATTGAGTGGGAGATGAAGTGTTGGTGGGCAGAGAGGGTTTTGTTGTCGCAGAAGTAAACAGCTCTGGAGTGGCAGCTCTGGCAAAATACGAGGGGTGGGCAGTGATGAGTGCTAACACTGAGGTTAGCAGTTTGAGTTAGCTGGCAGACCATAGACTCCAGATCACCGACTGTATAAAGATGGACAACACATCTCCATGTCCTCCCACTATCCAGAAATAAAGCCAAAATATCCCAAATATGAAATAATTAAAACCAAACTTTAATTGAAAAAAATGAGAATTTAGACAAGAAGTACCAAAACCTTTATAAAAATGTATGACAGTTACTTTGACCTTTTAGTTTGGTCCATGTCCCATCCAAGAACATGGAGGCGGTCTATACTGTAGTCAGCCATCAGCGGTTGATCAAAACACCTAGGCTTCACTTTAGGACAACAGTAATGTAGTTCATCTTTATATAATGTTGGCCACCTGACTAAAGTCATACTTAAAAAAGTCCAATATTCCTTTTATTTCAGTTTTGTCACCAGCAGCTCCTGAAGGAAATATCTGGTGGATTTATTTGACGTATATTTGCTCAGAGGCCCTTTTCATACCTGTCAGTCAGAGGGTCCGGACCAAACAAAGTTGCTGTGAAAGCCCTTTATAGTCCAAAACTTTTTACAGTGTACAGAGCAAGTCTGTATTATTTTCACATATTTTCATCTTTCTTCTTGCTTACTCTAGACAATTTCAATTGCTGTAACAGCAGAAAAAAACAAATTATAAACTGAAATGTTATGTGAGGAAAAATACAATTAACATATAGACGATAGCAGGTGGCGGCTCCATTTTTGTTTGCGCTAGAAAACTGAAAACGATGAAAATAATAAGATTAGAGCGCTGATAGATATCAGAGCTCAACCATCGTCGCTGTGGTGTTTTCCTCCACATTATGCTAACATAGCAATGAGAGAAAAGCGCTTGTCTTGCAAAAACGGGACCTTCCTGGGTGCAGCAGTAGCACATAAATGAAAAACAGAAAGTAAAGTCGTAAGTCACACTGACATCCTCGTGTCACCTTTATTATGCTATAAGTGCATAATTACTACAGCTTTCTTAAAATAACATTGTTTCCTCTCAGTGGAGACAACAAAGTGTGCACTGCTGCCTAACCTAAATTTCAAAGTCAGCTCATACTGACACCACAGCAGGGTGAACAGTGAGTCGGCCACATTGATATTCATGACAAAGGAGAGGGGGAAAATGTCATTAATTATTAAACAGGAAAACATATTGTTTCTTCATAATGTTTGAACCTTTGGGGGATTAGTTTAAGTTTGCTGTGTATGATAAATAACTGCTACAGGGTTATTTGACAGTGATACAGTAGGCGATGTCTGAATTATGAACATGCCGTTTGCTAAACTGACCAAGAATATTTTCACACTCCCACACTAAAAGTCTATCAGGTATTCACATTACTGTTATGGACTTGTCACAGTTTATAAATGTCATAGTTTAGTAAGGTTTGATAGCTTTGTAGCTCAAGTCTTTAGCTCTATGGTCATGTTGCAACTCAAACCCTCTTTTTCATAGATTAACCTGCATCTCCTAAATATATGTCCCACTTCTCCCAAATCTGACAAACCCAGTTCATAACACAAGCTTGCTTTTTAAGACTCTCCAGACTTAACCTATTATAAAACCCTAATGTCATAAGGATTATTTTTTGGACTTCAAAAAGCTCCACCATCCAGAGCCAAGGCAGACACTGACATTCACAGATTTTAACCTGAAACAATTTTTTTTTAACTAGACTAAACAATTAGTTTATTAAAATAAATTATTTAGATTCTGATTAAATAAATACTCGATTACATGAAGAATATAATGGAAGCAAGTGTAGATGTTCAGTAAAGCTAAGCATTCGTCTAAGATGAGTTAGCATTTCAGAGAACAGCAACCTTTTCTAGGCAGTCACAAGCTTTTGAGACAAACAGTGATGTATGTGAGGAGCTTTTACAAAGAGAAAACGGAAAAATGTTCTTCATCATAACAACATTAAACAGAAACTTCTAAGAGAGTTTGATGTTTATATTTTCAGCAGCTATGTGCAGGGGCTCAGACGCCTGAAGTTTCAGTTCACAGATTCATCAATTTATTGATAAAGAATGTTTAATAAACTCCTCCAACCTACAAGCATGTCATTAATTATCTATTCTCTCCTCTAAACAAGACTGGAAATTATTGTCAAAAGGTTATTCTTGGACGAGGTATTTTTCCACTGACAAATATGGAACCACTGATATAAAAATAAGCAAATATTTTCAGCTGACAGTCAAAGCATATGTAGGTTAAGAGGGAGTGATCATTACCTTAAAAAACCCAATGTCATTGTATTTTTTTTTAACACACTATCAACCATGTGCATTGTGAAGTCGCACCAGCCTATGGACCTTTATGTGTTTGACTTATCTATTTGACAAATCAGCCAAGTCATCGAGGAGGCAATCATTCTGTTGGTTTTTCACCACAGCATGAGTGTAGGCTGAGTGTAAATGTTATAAGATGTATGAAACTTGAAAAGTAAATTGTTTTGAAGAGTGATATAAAATCATCACATCGCCTACCCCCAGTCAAGAGCCCGAAGACGAAGGGATATTATACCTTATGTATGAATGTATGTAAAAGTGCAGTGTTCACTTGATATTTACCTATGGCCAGAGTCATGACCTTCAGCTTGTTCCGCACCAGTTTGACCACCATGCTCTTCTGCAGCGGCGTGGAGCGGCAGCAGAGAACTGAGCGGCAGCTCCGTGCTATAGCCAGAAACTTATCCTCCAAACTCTTATCCAGGGCATAGGCTAAGGTCCGCCCATCAATAACCAGACCCAACCGGTGCACCATGAAGGGAATGGTGTGGGAGGATGAGGAGGAGGATGTAGAGGAAGAGGGATAGATCTCAAAGGGTGCAAAGTTGGCGTTGAAGGCCTTGGCAGCATGGTCTGAAGCACTGCAGAGGAATTTGCTCTGGATGTAGTGTAAACTCTCGTCCAGCAACAACGCACATCCTTCCTGGTTCAGAGACAGGCACAGAGGAGGCTGGACTTCAGGATCAAGACTCTGAGTTGTTCAATATCAAACTGTCTGACCTGCTTTACATCTGGCAGCCAGATGCTGCAGCAGCACAGCATTAATCCATCATGGGTCCTTAAATGACCGTCTGACTCTATTTTTAATAACAGTATGATTTTAAATAAGTAAAAACAACAGATAAATGTGTTTAAAGGAATATCTGAAACATTCTGAGAATGATCTTTGTACTTACTCGCTAAGAATTAGGGGAGAGGATTGATACCACTGAAGACTAAGACAAGAGAGTCAGCTTATCATAGCATAAAAACTGAAACATGATCAGGATACAGGTGAAGGGTGGGGTGGAGCGTAATGGAGCAGAGAGAGGGAGTGGTGGCACTCGTTTGATTACCAGATCTTGCATATCTGCAGCTTTAATCAATCACTAATTTTATTTATTGATCAATAATTCAGCTGTGAAAAATTACCATAGATTCCTCGATATTGCTCACTTTGACCAAACCCAGTCCAAAGCCCAAAGATATTCAGTTTAGTTTCACATAAGACTAAAAAAAAAGGGAACATCATTTGTAAAATGGAAACCAATTAATCAAGTTGATAAGATCACTAATAAATCAACAAGTTAATGGTTATGAATTTGGCTATTTCTTGCCCCAATATATTAACTTCAGGGATTAAACTAAAAATAAACAAATAAACAACTAAATCAAATAAAATCTTTGTTGTGATTGGCCAGCCTTTCAACACATCCCAAAGGTACACACAGAAGGGCAAAAAAGCAACCAGGACCAGTTAAAATGATTCAAAGGCCCACATGGAGCTGGTCCCTGGGTCCTGGGAAATTCTGCTGAGGGTCCTCCTCCCTGACCTGTGAGCCAAGAAAACTGTTTTCCTGTACAGTGTACAGATACACTTAGCAGCTAAATTGGTGAGACAGACTAGAGAGATGAACGTCAACTAAACATTATTAATTCAGATGAAATACAAAGATTTCATGAAAAAAGCAGATGGCTGGAAAAAAAGAAGAAATTTTGCATTTGGTTCGTAAATGTCAGTTTACATTTCAAATGTGCTACCTTCTAAATCTCTCAATCATACAGTCGCCAGGCTCATGGTGACACCCCCTCTCACTTTTTGTACGTTGGTTGTACACTGATCTGATACAGGGTCTCTCAGAAGTCCAGGAAGCACCAGGAGGTCACAAAAAACAGTGTGACACTGGTAACTAGTGAGTATTAAACACATAACATTTCCCCTGGTTTCAAGTCTTTATGCTAAGCTGACGCTCGAGAGTGGGTTCAGTGTTGTTATCAAATTTCTGCATGTAGGCAAATAAGCACACCAATAGCTATTAAATAGCCTGGAAGAACAACACAATATTTAGAAACTTTTTTTTCAATTTGGCAAACTGAATGCAAGCAACATGATCATTTTTTGTTTTATATTTATTTTGGATGTTGTGAAACTGTTTAAATTGGAGTTTGCGGACTCTTCCATGTGACAAGTCAGAGTTTATGAATTCCTGGTGTGTGTAGCTTACCTGAGAATCAGCATTCAGTGTCAGGATCTCCTCCTCGGGGTCCAGCAGCTTGCAGGCATAGGCTATATTTACAGCTGTTTCCTGTTTGTCTCCTGTCAGCACCCATATCTGCAGGCCAGCCTTCCTCAGAGAAGCTATAGTTTCAGGCACGCCATCCTGCAGACGGTCCTCTATTCCTGTCGCCCCTGCACGTGAGCACAACAATTGTTGTAACTGCATTTAAAAGGGAGGACTGAGGTTGACATTTTCTGAGGAGGTCCGTATATAAATTACCTAAGAGCTGGAGGTTCGTCTCCAGGCGCAGGGCCGACTCAAAGAGCAGCTCCTCTCTTCCCTGAATGGCCGTCTCAGCCTCCAGGTGATGCTGCAGCCAGCAGGCATACTCGTCCTTGCTCAGGATCTGTCACATAATCACAAACATTTATAAACACACACACACGTTTACACACATTCCATTATCTATTAAAGTATTGGGGTAAGTGGGGCAGTTTCTCCTCCTTTGCCTACATAGCAGAGGAAGCTCCACAGGAGAATGTGAGACCTTGAGAATGTGTTTTATCACATCGTGTTGGTGACGGACTTTGCACAAGCGGGGATATAATGAGCGCAGCCTGTGAGAGCATAAATTAACAGCCTGGGAAAGGGGCACAGATTGCGGCTGAGTCAAAGAATGTCACTTTGGAGGGGCTGGTCTATGTGATCATCTGTGCTGGGCTACAAACTCAACAGCCACAGAGACACATCATCACCACCTTCTAACACAGTTTAATTAGAGAGGGCGTTTGTTCAGTACTTCTTAAGAGGTTTGTGAATCCCTGCTACCTTTTTTGCAATGCACAGTGTGCGAAGGCCATCTGCAGCATAAAGGTTCAGGTAGTTCTGGGTCCTGTAGACAATCTTTTTCTGTCGTTTCCCTTTGGTGTTACCTTTAAAAAAAAACAGATGAGGACAGAAAGACAGAGATGAAATATTCTTCTTTTTAGGACATTTGCATAAGTGGCTGAGGGTTTTGGTTCCAGACAGCCAACGGCTTCTTCCATGAGCCACATGAAAGCCATCTGTCCTCACACCTAAATTAACCATGTACACTGAGCCTCGATACATTTCACCAAATCTTAAGATTACTCATTGAGCTGTGTCTGGACTATAATAAGGAAAACTTGATAGCAACACTTTTTTAAATCTCATTTAAAAAACATTATTTATCAACATGAATACATTTTATAAAATGATTTGATTACAGTTGAATATTTCATGTCATATATGGAGGTATGAAGTATCAGGTTTTTTGCTCAAGTGTCTCACTAGCACCATCTTTCTGGCAGGGAGACAGTGTACCAACAGATTGGCTTTATCAGACACAGATGAACAAGCCAACCCTCTGATTGCCAGCCATGTAATCTGACTAATAACACCCCAGCTTTGCTGCACATCCATTGCAACGCAAATGGATTTTTTAAAACTGAGAGGGATAACGTAACACAAGACTGTCAGAATCTAAACACAAAATGGATTTTATTCAGCATGATAGTAGATAAAATCTCAATGTGCTTTTATTCACAACTAAAGCATATCAATATGGCAGCTTCTTCATTTATCACAAATATTCTTGTTGCTCAAAGCCATAAACGTGTTCCTTTTAGCCTGATGGGTGTGTTTCTGAGGACAGCAGGAGTTTTCTGTTTCTGACACGTAGCTGCTAGGACCAGAACAGACCAGATGCAGGTGTAAAGGCACACAATGTTTATTTTTCCTTCTCCCGAACATGAGAAAATCCACCGAAAATAGAATTTCTTTCCTTCGTGTTAAAGACTGTCAAATGTCAAGTCCAATAGTTACTCACCTGGTAGGTCTGTTCGGGTCTCAGTCAACTCCTCAGAGAGTATTTGGCTTTTTAGCTGCTAAATGCTCCTTTATGTTTACTAGCTAACATTGTCTGTCATTTGGTGCTTGGCAGGTTGTGTGCAGTGGGTCTAAAGGGCGTTTCTTTTAGCAGTGAGAGTGATGGAAAACAGTTCAGTTGTGGGACATCAAATCAAAACAATTGAACTGAAAGATGCTAAAATGCTCAATTCAAAACAAGCGTTATTATATTTGGTTTGTCACAACAAATGACTCCTTCCACATCACCATTATATTACCAAAAATCTGATCATAGCAGCTTCAATTGAATGATTTTAAGATGTACAACATAATTGTAAATTTACAACTGCGTAGTGTGACCACTACGCACTACGAGCTGTATAGCTCCATAAATGTCAGTAGGAGAATCTCTATTGGTGACATGTAACATGTATTTTAGAAACATGTTCAAATGTTTTAAAGTGGAATGTGATATTAAACAAGGCCTTGCTGCAAGAGGGAGACCAGAGTTCCGTCACCAGACACACACCAACTTAAACAGTCAACTTTCAGCACTTCACTCTGCACTCTGTTACTAATGACACACAACAACTCCCTCATCGCCTGAAAGGAGCCATTATAGATGTCTGTGTTATGAGGAGGCCCAACTCATGTCGTGCTCTAATTGGCTGGTTTTACCCAATGGAAAAACAAAGGGTTGAGTTGTCTGACCGAAGACACACCCTGACGGCCATTAAAGGCATTGAACTGAGACACGTGTTGGAGGAGGGGTGAAGGTGTGTGTGAGGACTTTCCCAGTGACGTGTCTCTCCTGTCGTGTGCAGCACCACTCTGTGAGAGTGAGTGAAAAACTTCTCGGGTTGGGTCATTTTAATTTTCTTACTTTACCCACAGACACAAACAGAGACACAAGCACAGACACCATCTCAGCTGATGTCTCTGACCCTCTACAGTTAAAATGTCAATTTGTTTGAAATGACCGCAACAATATCAACACTGATCACCACCTAATGATTGATTCTTTTCTTAAATGAGGAAAATATTTCTTTATAGCTGCGGGCATTCATTCATCAATTCAGCTCTTCCTGATGCCACTCTCTCTCTTTCTCTCGTGCTGACATTCACATACAAACAGTTCCCGTCAGATGCTGTTGTAGATTTTCCTAGAATAAACAATTACTTAATCACCGGAAGAGAAAAATGCAGTTTTTCTAAGCCTTTTAACATCATCTCAACAAATATTTGTATGAGTTGTTGTATGTTAGACAACATAAATAATAATCTTGAAGATGCTGCCATGGGTACATTATGAACATTTTATAGTTTAAATGATGAATTCACAAAAACAATACTGTGTGATAAAAAAAAAATTCTCGGGTGCAGCCTTACAAGCTTTGTGTTGTGTAAAGCCCCATGGTGTGTGGGCTGTAACAGTCCTCGCTAAGCACTCCTGGACAGATGTGAGGTGGCTGTGTACGGAGCATTAGTGAAAAGTGCCTGTGTAGCTCTTTGTGTGCCTGGAATACTAACAACCTGGTACACCTCTGCCATTAGGATGTTAAAGAACTTGCAGAGCATGGAACAAGGTTTATAATACACATAGGAAAAAATACACAAGGAAGCCCAGAATGTTTTTTTCAGGCACCAGTCAACGCAGGCATTGAGCTTTGCTGCAGTGACTTGCTCTAAAAAAATACAAGGTCTTACATAACATGTTACCTTATACGTTTACATCAGTGGAAGGCATGAATGTGATGGACGGGGGCGGGGGGGACTTGAGTGCTCTATGAAGGCAAAGCCAACCACTCTTGTTCAGACATGTTGATCCAAAGCAGAATCACGCTGCTTTTCACAAAAGCAGCTACAACTGAAAACAATACATCACTTTGGACTGACATCGTTTGCTGACATGTCAGATTCACACATGTTAATATTTCATCACATGATTTATACAGCTATGATTCATCAGTTCTGGTGGAGACGTGCGCAGACATAATGCAGCGCTAGCAACACAGCATCCAAAAATCACATCATTGGACCATGTTGACAGCATTAATCAAGAGGGTACCACCACTCGATACACCTGTAGGGACAAAATGACTGTGTTTACATGCACACTAGTATCCTATGTATTATCAGGTTGAAGAAGTATCCTGTTTTTGTGTTTAAACACATATAAACATTGTTTCTCAATTTCAGTAACCTGGATAAGCCCCTAGCTAATGACCAAGGATGACCGGGCCTTTTCTGTCAGGGCTCCCAGTCTTTGGAACAATCTCCCAGAGGAGATCCATTATTTATTCATCTATGTATTTTTTTTAATCATCCTGGTTTTGAGAAATGATTTTACTAGCTGGAGCACTCCTTAAGTAACTGAGATACTGGTGCATGTAAACATCTTATCCCATTCTGATCACTGCCAACTGGAGCTCAAATGTGATCCTACACCATTGATTAATAACTAAATACATGTAGTTGTCAGTTTTTGTGAGCATCAGAGATAAGGGTTACACCAACACTGAACCCCTAACCATAGGGCAGACACACACACATTTGTACAGCTATCTTAATGAGGACATTCCTTGGCATGATGCACTTCCGAGCCCCTTACCCTAACCATCAACCTCATTCTAACCCTAACCCCTAAAACCAAGTCCTTTCCCTCAAACAACCCATTACAAGTGGGTCAAAAGACAAAAAGTCCTCCCTCTAAAGGTTGTAGGCTCAAACATGTTTCTGACAAAGATATCTGTACAAGTATGCACACACACAATATAACAAATATTATCAAAACCAGATAAGCCTCATCACTGGGATACTAGTGCACACTAATGTAAGAATGGCAAGAATTGATGTATAAATAAGTGTTTTCCTACCTGTGCTGGGAGGTTTGATGAGTTCCATGATGACAGAGTCTGCTCCTTTAGTGTACACAGTGATCTGATCCGTCAGAGGATGTCTCACCACCACAGACATGCGCTTCCTGGTGGAGTCGAAGCCCAGCGTGTGCAGCAGCTCAAAGCTAAGCTTCCCCAGGTGCGGCAGTTCCACGGTCACCTGGTCTGGGAGGCGTCCGACGAGGGAGCACTTGTAAGCCCTGGCCGCGTAGACAAGCGCGGCCTCGTCAGGCGACTCCGCCTCGTAGCGCAGCTCGCCCTCCTCCAGGCCCCAAACCTTACCTTCATAAGAGGGCGGGGCGGGGCTGAAGGTGTGGTCCAGGCCTCTGCGAGAGTGCTCCTCATCCAGCTTGGTGAGCGTGCTCTCCGCAGAGGGGGAGGACAGCATGCTGGAGCAGCCCTTATTGGAGGAGCGGTTTGTGATGAGGCTGGAGGAGCTGCTGTTGTTGGAGCCTGACGTCAAGCGGCTGGGAGTGAAGCGCTTGATGAAGTCCTCAATGGTCTTGACCGGGGACTTCAGCTCAAACCTCATGCGCACCTGGAGGACGACAACTGGGATTAACTCCTGAAGCAGCAAGTAGCAATGATTTAATCTGAAAACTTAAAGTTTAATATTCAGCCTTTTATAATTTATGCTGAGTGGATATCTGGTTAAGAAAATATGAGTTAAACTATGAGCTGCTGCTGGAGGTAGACATTCAGGTACTGGTATCCTCCGAACACAGTATTGGGGTGACAGTATTTCATTGCATTCATTCGTTAATATTAGGATTAATATATCATAAAACCTGGACTCTACCTTTCACTGACAAAGTGCTGCATCACTGTGATTAAAGCTGTGCTCACTGCCTAGTTTCTGTGTAACTTCAGTTTTATGTTCTTATTTAAAATGTATGATTTATTATTTTACATCAGTACATTAACAGAGCATTAAAGGTCATGAAAAATGTACAGACTCAAAAACTACTGGCATACACCAGAATGACTCATCATGCTCTCTGTGTTGGAATGAGAGGTTCAGTGTTTCCATTGGAGAGTGTGAGTGTATGTTTTCTGTCTTTTCTCTCTTCTCTCTCATGCACTTTCATGATTTTTTTCTGTATAGTCACTGTTGTTATTACTGCTGTAGTCAGTTGTGGATGGTTGTAGCCTGCTTGGGTGAGACTGAGGGTGGGAGTGGGTGCTGGGATGGATTGGGTGTAGTAGAGACTAGAGGGTGTTTTTAAGATTTTGTATGGTGATTTTTCAATATCATTAAATATTGAATACAGCGATTGTTTAAAAAAAAAAAAAAGCAAGTAGGGAATAGTCCTTACTCAATACTACTACAATAGTTTCTTGAGCTTAAGATGTTTGTAAGATGGGTTTCATGATATACATTATAGAGCAAAGGTTTCAGGCATTTCATGTGGTTTAATGTATTCCAGCCCATGTGTGTATCAACTGTCTTTGTCATGGGCCTTTGTCTTTTTCCCCCAAATTGTATCAAACCAAGTGCTCTGCTTGGTAGCCGAAAAAACAAATCTAAACACAAATGAACAATAAAAATATCTATACTCTTATGGTCTTCTCATCTCCAAGGAATGTGGTGTCAAATCTGGTGCGATTTGGACACGCAAAACATTCAAGTCAACTGTGAGGCAGCGACTGCTGGGTCTCATTAATGTAAGTGACGCTGTATATCACAACAATAGTGGGGCGATGACAACTGATTGTCCAGTTCAGACTCTGCATACTAAGTCGAGCTACACTCAACTTTAAATAAACAGGCGCACAGCTCTTTGTGCAGTAGCAGTGGAGTCCAGCAGTCGGTCTTTACTTTTACTTTTTTACAGTTTTAAAAAGAAAGCAGCAACAAGCATCACCAGAGGTCAAGAAAACAGCCCATTCCAAACACAGGTTTATAATAGTAGTAAAACGAATGCCATGAACAGTAATTCATCAATTAACATCATTGAAAGCTTGTAAACTTTCACTCAGTTTTTCAAGGTATCTATAAGGTAGATCTCTTCTGTGGATTGGAGCCAGCTCAGTGTCACTGTCTTTGTGGGGGTCATAACAATGCTGTTCTTCAGCCCCTTGAATCTACCTTGTTTGTGTACATTATTGTATGATGGATAAGAATCTAAAACATCTAAAGTGCCTCAAACGTTAGCACAGTGCCGTGTTTGACAAATCAGCCTCAGCTTTAGACTTCTGTACTGATGAAAATGCACCTCCTGGCTTTAATCCTTCAGCCAATCCCTTATCCCAAGGTGGTGCAGCACAACAGCAGAGAGTGTGACTCACTTTGAGGTCTGCTGGCAGCCGGACCCACAGTTCTCACATATAGAGATATAAATCATTCAGGTGCTGGGTTAGCCGGGAAGGAATCATAATAAAATGTGAACAATTACACCGAAACGAAGGACAAAAAGTACAATCATTAAAAAAAAAAAAAAAAACGAACTGAAAGGACATTTGTATCAAAGCCACTGTTTCTGTGCAGATTTACATTCCTTCCTTATCAGATAACCTCCAAACAGAAACACAGCAACATAAATAATGTGTCACAGTGTAAAGCTATATCTGAACTGATCTGTGCCTCTGACCAGCAGGACAGCGAGGCGGTGCACACAGCGAGTGGCGAGAAGAGGATATCACCTCTGAGCAGGACGACCACACCCAGACTCGCATAAAAACAAAACAAAACACGGATACACAACTGTGACTGGAGTGAGCACATCAAAGTCACAGGCAATGAATCAGTGAATGCTTTGTGCAAATGCACCGTTTTGGAATGTTTATGTGCTTTTAAGACTGTTTTTACAGTAAAAGTAGCCAGAAAAAGTGTTTAAACCCTTTTTGTCATCAGATGGAAGCTACTACCATGTTGGTCAAAACAAGAAAAAACAGAGAAAACAGACATTACAAACAAAAAAATATAGATTTAAAAATTCTATATTGACCATCTGCAGCATTTAAGATTCTGCTCTTGTTATTGTCTTTTTAAAATTTTTTTTTTATATTCGCTTCATAAAAGCTCCCTTGCACGTTTGATCTCATGTTCAATGTATGTTACTGCCACTGGATGCTTGAATTTCCTTCGGGATCAATAAAGTATCTATCTATCTATCTATCTATCTATCTATCTATCTATCTATCTATCTATCTATCTATCAGACATTCTCAATGATGCATTTTCACTGTTCCTGAGATATCTCTCTCTCCTGCAGGATGTGTGTGAGGGGCAGGGTCAGCCCTCTCTAACATGCCTCAGCAGCACAGACACACACCTCACTATAGTCGATGCAGACAATGCTCACGGTGGCGGGAAACATGTATTTTCTCACTGCTTTTAAAGAGTAAATATGAAGATAAAGATCCAGCACAATAAGTCTTTTGCAATGGAGGAAACAAAAAGTACTCTGGTGAAAGTACATCACATATAAGCAAACTTGAACTACAGATGAGCTTTGCAGTATAAATCGTAATATAATCTGTCTTTGTCCCAGATATATGTATATACTTGAAGCCTGGAACCCACCCACACACCCACACACACTCACACACGCACACACACACACACGCACACACATATGGGTGCTATCAAAAACAGAAATTCTGTTTCTCATCCCATCCCATCAGGGAGCTTTGTAAATATAAATTTGTTATTTGTTTCTTCTAAGGCCTTTAAAAAATAAATAAACTAAATTCATAATGAGACTTTTCTACCACAATCCAATAAAGGCAAAGTTGCTGAAAAAATAAAATACAAATGGACTGGTTATATTTTCAAAGGGGACTCCACCATTTATATGTTTCATATCCAAAACTTTTCCTTCTAAATTACTGATTTTCTAGCATAGTCAGATGAGATTTGCAGTATTTATTTTAATAATTTTGTGTATACAATAATGTATAATGCAGTTACACCAACATCAATGTGAAAAGCCATCAGGCAGCCTATCAGACCAAATAAAAATACATTTCTCCTTAACCTGAGGAAGGGTTGAGATAGTGAGATTTTCTTGAGGTGAGTTTTACCTTCTGCCTGGGCTGGTTGGGGGAGGACACCACCACTGTGTTGCAGATTGTGAGAGCGATAAAGAAATCAATGATATCTGAGAGGTCAGAGGGCAGCTGGGACATTGGCTGGCTGTGAAAGCGCATGAAGTCCATCTGACTGCTGCATTCATTGACTTTGTCCAGGAGCTGGGGGTCAGGGGTGATATCTTTCTCCTGCGGGACAGAGAAGGATTTTATCAGTGAGGAGCAGACAGCACACAGTGTGAGGATGGCGGGACGGTGATGTGTACTGACCATGGGGCTGCTGAAGGCCGTGTGCTTGGATAGGATGCTGGCTCGCTTGGCCTCCGCCCTGCTGCCCGTCCTGCGATGGGACTTTGTGCTCTGGGAGCGCAGCACCACCGGGGCGCTGTGGTGGCTGGTCACGCTGTCCCGCCTGGGCAGGGTGCCTCCGTGAGATGTACACTCCTCTTCTTCAGAATCCATCTCCTGGTACATAGCAAGTCTTCTAGCTGGATAACACATTTCATTATTAACCCATTAGGACTGCATGGAATAATTGCGCATATAAATACCTTTAAGACCGGTTTTGACATCTTCATATTCACAAAGTTCAATGACTTATAATAAAAGCCAAATATTTGACCTATCAAATGTTTTTTTATCCATGTGTCTATTTGCTTTAGAGGCTGAGAAATAACCACATTTTTATGGTTTTAAAAAACAGTTTTTAACATTGGCAATTCTGTCAGCTCTTCAGAAAACCCTCAGGTTTTAGGTGGATGTCAAACAACAATTTTTTATTTGCCGCCGTCTTAGTGGATTAAGAGGGAAGTAAAAAAGCAATTACTGCTTTTATAAGGGTGTGTGTGTGTGTGTGTGTGTGTGTGTGTGTGTGTGTCTCACCATTGGCATCATGGGAGTACTCCACCCCTGCCACAGTGCAGCGGCGAAACACCATCTTGTTCTCCGTCAGCGTGCCTGTCTTGTCAGAGAAGATGTATTGCATCTGGCCAAGATCCTCTGTGATATTAAGGGCTCTGCACTGCAGGTGAGAGTCTGTCTCCTCATCGTACAGATCCATGTCCTGATGGATGAAGTACACTTGGCAGATCTTGACAATCTCAATCGACACAAAGAGGGAGATGGGTATCAGCACCTTGGAGAGGAGAGAATGTTTATTAAAGAAGAAAGAGCTGAACATCAGCATTTCCCAGCTATATATATACTGTATATATATATATGATATGTACATTTGATCAAATCAAACAACACCTGGAAAATACAAGTTGAAATGAGAATGTGAAAACTAGTTCACAAGCAGGAGATTAAAAAAATAAAAATCACAAAAGGTGATGGATAAATTCTTAAAGGTTCAGTGTGTAAGATTTAGGAGAAAGGGTTCTATCGGCACAAATTGAATTTAAATTATCTTCATGATGTTTTCACTGGTGTGTTTCATCAAAATTGTATGAATTGTAGTTTTCTTTATCCTAGAATTGGCCCTTTATATTTAAATACTTTATATTTACATCGAGGGGTCCTCTCTACGGAGGCCGCCATGTTTCTTACTGTCGTCCAAACAGGACAAACTAAACATCTTTTGAGTTTATGAAGGCTACCACAGGTTCTCTGTCATGTTTGGGGGAGGTGAGGTGAGGGGTATTCAGCTGCAACACATGAACAGCTTACAGCTAAAAGTTACAGATTTAGAGTAGAAATAGCTTAATGGCTATATGTATGGAATAAATGGTGGTTTTGTTGAAGGGGCACTTGAGAATCGCAGACAGGATTATATTATACATACAGCTTTTCAGTTAACTTTGCTATGGGCCAAAAACATATACAAATAAATGTTATATGAGTTCTTAGTAGCTGCTTGATTGTTTAAAAATTGTTCCTGAGTGGGAGATTTCCAGGCAACATATTTGGAAAGTGGTTCCATAAGAAATGAGTCATAACTTTTGGGAGGGCAGATCAGCATGCACAGTGCTCGTGCCTGGATACTAACAGAATCATGTGTTTATTTCAGAGTGCATCGTCTGGCAACACTGGCGGGTCTCCGACCTCAAACAGTTCCTGTTTGTACAGCGTAACCATGCTGATATCTTCCCTGACCTCTCATTTATTTCAAAGCCAGCAGCAACATTTGACACAGGACAGGCTGACATTTGAGCTGACATTTTTTTTTAAATGCAACGAAAAGAAAATCAATAGCTATCAGGTGGCAACTTTTTCCTACTTTGGTCGTGATAATTATGCAGCATGAAAAGTACTTTCTCTCTGCTTTTCCACACTGAATGTGACGATAAGGATCTAGAGGTCACACACACACCTTTGGGGGATGAAATAACTAGCGCCAATGCTTTTGATTTACAGCAATGCCTGTTTGCAGCGGGATAAAATATTTCAAACTGAACATGATATCGTACGTCCTTTTTATATCTGCGTCTCTGTGGGCTTCTCCCCGGTTCATACCTGAAAGACGATGATCATAGTGAGGAAGAGATAAATGGCTGACATGATTGGTGATAAGTCTGTCCCCTCTGGACTGAGAACGTCAAACACAGGTCTCTTATCTCCGTACTGAAACATCCACAGCCCGTGACCTGGAACAACGATAGAACAAGGTCAACTCGTATAGACAAACGAACGAGAAGATATGAATAGAAGCACAATAAACACAATCCAACAAGACTTTGTGAGATTTATCTTTTGTTTCCAATAATAAATCCAGCAAATGAAGGTTTTCAAATTGAAATTTCTCAATACGACTAGGGGCATTCCAAGTGTAAACATAACTCCTAAACAGATACACACCCACAGCAGCAAACAGGCACATGACCAGCAGGATGATGACACACCAGAACACATCTACATTCATCTGTCTCTCCAGTTTGCTGCGTTTGTAGCGCGGGCCGTTGTTGTTCAGCATGGCTTTGGTCTCGTGACCTGCAAACACACACACCGTGTTAGATGCAGCAGGTCAGAGGTCAAGTGCGGAGTGTGACCGCCGATGACAGCTACTCTGGGGGCTTACCTGCATAAATGACTATTCCCACAGCCTCCTCTGTGTTGCGGATGGTGCAGCCTCGCAGCAGCAGGTTTTCTTTATAAAGTGCATCTCTTCTGCCGCTTCTATGGATTCTGTCAGGGAATTCATATTACCGTGAGTTAGGGGTGGGCAGGACACCCATGTGTGATAGTGCACCACAACATTTATTGTGCCATACAGACTTATTATTTAAAAAATAAGCCATTTCACTTCATCATGAGTTGTGGTCTGAATACTTGTCGTTATACAGTATATTTTTGGAGCAAATTAAAAGTACATCATAATCGCTACGTTGGCCAAACAGCAGCTGTCCTCATGCCAGGTGGGTGGTAATAAGGGAGCAGCCAAACTGATCAATTAAAATGTGGTGAGGTCAAAAGTAGCAGTCTAAGCCTAAAGTGATGAGTGGAGTGTCAGAACGAGACAGAGACATCAAGGCAGCCCAGCAGAGGAAACTGTCGATCCCCGAAAGGGGGCACTTCCATTGGTTTAGTATGAAGTCATCCAACACAGAGCAAAATACAGTATTATTCAATACAGTGTGTCTTAGGTGGCATGTTTTGTCTGAACTGTCCAGGCCTGAGGGAAACTAACAGAGCCTGACCTTTTTTTATTTTTTCTGAACCCAACTGCAACATGCTACAATTACTATAAGCTGCTCTGAGTTTGTTACCCTGTCCCTGAAATGCATGGATATTTCTTGTTTTCCCTGATTCCAGCCATGCGCAGAGTAAAAAGATCAAGTAGATAGCCCAGCCAACATCGCAGCACAAAACCTTTGTCCGAATCCAGCCCAGGTCCCAATGGGCTCGGGTCCGGGATCCAGCCCTACCATGAGTGCCAGTCCACAGGTTTATCAAACAGCTCAAACGACTATGGTTATGTCTTTACACTCAGGTGAAAGATGGTGATGCTTGTGGCGAAATGGAATATCTCTGCACACCAGAGCCACCAAGCCAACATCAGTTTTTCAGCTGAACGCCTCAATCCATCACGCTCCAAAGCATCATGGTCGTCCCTCAGCAAGAGCCCTTATCTCAGCACAAATCCCCTCTGATAAAGAAGCACTGAGCACGCGCTGCACCACAGAAAATGCCCTCAGGCTTTGAATCATTTAGGCAATTCACTGCTTCATCGCTGACCTTTAGATCTCACCTCATCATCTAAAATGCCATTGTCATATAAAGACTGAATCCAGCTCTCAGAAAAGAAAGGACTGAGTTAATATCCATTATAGGAAAGCATTTTAACCCAAAGTGAGATGTGTGTTGAGCTGCCATTAAGTCAGAGGAGTGTTGGATGGGTGAGCTGAGCTTTTACTGTCAGACGTACTATTACTAAATCAAGGAATACAAAGCAGAGTTTTATCATTTCTGTTCTTCTTCCTTCACAGCCATGTAGTTGTCGGCATGTTTACTAACAGGAATGTTCATCCTTTGGCCTCTGACAGCAGGCCGCATGACACATCAGCACCGTTATGGATTAAGGGCAGTGTCCCTGATCTCACACACCGCTCGTCCTCGTTCATAGCGCACGCTGTTCGAGAAATTGATAACGCTCCAGACGCAGAGTGCCTTCTCTCCCAGAAGGCTGCGAGATTAGACTCAGTGCCACTGGTTGTATTGTAATAAAACACTGCTGGGACAATGCTGCGTCTGTGCTCCGATGTAGCCTGGCAACTGAATACCTGCAGCATCTGGTCTCCTTCTGAGCAAAGAATACATGTCATAATCATGTGAGTGCGGGTTCACTGTCAATTCAGAGGACACTGATCGTCTTTTCATCCTCACACAAACTTATGGAAGACACGGCTGGCATGAATTCAAGTCTCAGATAATATCTGGGTGAAGCAAACACGCTCCATCTCACTTGATACGCTTAAAGAAAACAGTCAGTAGCTACAAGCTGGTTGGCTTAGCTTAGCTTAAAGTGAGCTACATGGCTCTTTCCCAAGGTAAAACAAATCCACCTCATAGCGCCTCTAAAGCTTAATAATTTATTTTGTTTGTTGTCATGACACACTGGGTTTTATTTGGGTTACGTGTTCATGTTTTAGTGGGAAACTCCTGCCATTTAGTTTCAAATGAATCCAAATCACAGCAACATTTATACTTGTCCAGACTTCCTCATGCTATACTTAGACACTACCCCTCATCTGAATATTTAGGACATTTCTGATCTTTAAGGATCTCTCATTGGATGAATTCTCCTTTCTAATTGGCAGAAGGTTGCGAGGTATCCATGCAAAAAGCAGTTTGTCTAACAGCCTTTTCTAAATGTGTTACTTGGCCACATAACTTTCTACCAACCAAAATAACCTGACCAAGAGGCTGAAACTGCAGGAAAAACATTGAAACATAAGTAAACTTATTTTGACCCAGGGTCACTTCTAAAGATTTATTATTAACATCATGTATTGTGTATGTCAGAACACTGTGCTTTATCTGGGTTAAGTGTTCCTGTGTGAGGTTTTTGTAAACCACTATGAGTATTTGTACTGCAGACAGAGACAAAAATGAAGTTAGGTGTAACACAGGAGAGGCTGAGTGACAGGCACATTGTTGCAGCTAACACAGTGTCTACAGCTATAGACAAAGAACACACAAAAGCGAACACATTTATGTCTGATAGACTCCAACTCATTGATCCACATTGTGACAAGTTTGAAAGACTTTCAAATCACAGCACAGTTTGCTTCATGAGCACTTCCAGACTTTAACCACCACAAGCACTCGTCTCATCAAACATGCGTTTCCCCATGCTCATTAACTAAGACATTAGTTAGACTTAACCAGAGATAGATTAACAATGCAGCAAATACCGGAACATCTTCGGTCTGGTGGAGTAGATTCGACAGTGACATGCCGAAAGAAAAACAAAGACTCATCCAATCCCAAACATTTAAAGCTAGGGTTGGTAATCTTGGAAAAGCTATAAAGAGCAGGCCACCCTTTGGAAATATGTAACAAATAAATCCCACCCCCTCCAATCAGCCCTCTCGTCAAAGTTTACCCACAAAACACATGCAAACAACAGCTTTGGTTATGAGATTGCAAAGAGCAGCTGATGGTTCATTTTGTTCTGCTGCTAAACGAAGCACATGTATCTAAAAACGTACACGGTCAAATGGGTGAAACCCTGCAACCGCATCCCAAGAAGGCAAATTGTAATCTTGATTTGGAAAAACTGTTTGAGTCATAATTATACGTTGGAAACTGCAGGCATGTCAACAAACCGCAGTTTCACATTATTTCCATTTCAAGGCTCAACACTGCTCAAAATGTCACTGCATTCATTTATGACCAAATGAAAACGAAACATTTAATGAGAGATAACAAATTAAAAAGCCAAGCATCTCTGAGTCCAAACACAAGGTGGGCAAAACACACACACACTAAACAAGGACAAAAACAATGAAATACTCACATGTAGCCTCGGAATCTATTCAGGTCATTGTTGGGTTTTTCACATTCAATTACGCTGTTGTATTTTAAAGGGTCGAAATCACAATCCTGCAAACAGAACACAGATAAATAAATTACTTTTTCTTATTCATGCAGTTCCTGACAAAATAACTGATGGTGCCCTTACAAATACTTGTACTAACACAAAACCGCAATGTTTGCAGTTTAAATGTGATGTCTGCATACTCAGGCTCCACCCTTCACCTCGATGTTCTGGAAATGTTAATTTTGTTGAAAACGTGTCTGACGTTAAAAAGCTTCGGCTACATTCTTCACATGTGAAAGTCAAACTATGGAAAATGTCTAGACCAAATACTGCGGACATGTTCTTAATGTCTGATAACAGTAAAAGACACACAACTTCAAAATCAATCTTTCAAAATAAACAAACTGGTCTCTCAATGGATACATTCTGATTGGCTGAAAGCTTAAAGTGTGTAATAAACCTTTTCTGATTGTATTACTTTGTGACCAACGTTCCAAACCAACTAAAATAAACTGACCAACAGGCTGAAACTGCAGCATACACACTGAAGTCTCAGTGAACATTTGCTTCTATCAAGGAATTTAACAAAGAAACAGTTTGTGTGACCACAGGAAAACAAGAGGAAATGAACATCCGTCTCACCAGGTCAAAGAAGCTGCGGACGACCTGCCTCTGCTTGAGGTTGGTCTCTCCATCCAGTGTGGCGGTCTCGATGTGGCACAGGCGGTCGGGGTCGCTGGTGCTCAGCAGCAGAACATCGGCGGGGAGGATCTCGTTGCATCGCAGCCTGATGAAGTCTCCCACTCGAACCTCCTTCCAGTACTTCTCCACATAGCGTCTCTCCGCTCTGCCAAAACAAGCAAAGAGATGGTGTAAGCATCGGGATGAGAGACGTGTAGCTATTGTTTTCAATCACTGGTGGTTCTATAAACAGAAACTTCAGTTCCACTTCTATAAATCTGGAACAGCAGACATGTTGAGCATGAATGAGGACAGACTGTTTGCTGGTGCTGAAGCTGTTACCACAGACTATAGCGGTAACGATTCCTCTTAACCTAACTCGTCTCAACGCCTTATTCAATATGTCCATCAAAATACAAAACATGTCCAAAATGTAGCTCAGCATGAACACAACTCTGCGTCCTGAGAGGACATAAACATACTGTATGCGGAGGGACCGGAACTTTCTCAGAGGTTTAAACCAACGTTATTCCCCAACTGAAGAGAAAAGGATCTCATATCTCATATAACACAACACTGCCTTTGTCAACACACAGATTCTTCTCTTCACAGATGTGGTTGTGTTGTTATTGTAAATGATGTCACTAATCTGAGTGGAATTTGTTGCATTGGAAGGGATAACAGCTCCGACACTACATTAATGGTAACCAGCCTTCATTTCTGATCAATGTGACTAACCTGGTAGCAATGTACTAAATACACACACACACACACACAC